CATCATCATCATCATCATCATCATCATCATCATCATCATCATCATCATCATCATCATCATCATCATCATCATCATCATCATCATTGCTGTCACTACAGTGCTGGCGCGGTCGCAAGAAACCATCGCGAGAAACCCAGCCCTGAAAACCCGCACGCGAGGTACACCTGAGGGGAAACCCGGAGCACCCTGAACGCAGCAGCCTCTGAACAGCAGCGGGAAGTCACCGCGCACCGCGCGGATAGAGGAGCCTCATGGTACCCTGGCGAAAAGCACTTGGTTTCTTGATGCGCGCTCCACTGTATCATCCTCACTCCCCGCCTCCTCCCCGCCTCGCGAGTGGCCATGGCGTCGGCAGCACGCGCAGCGCCGGCGGCGCCCGCGGCGTCGAGGGCGCCAGCGCGGCCAGCCGCGTCTGCGGCGCGCGCAGGCGCGTCCCCGTGCGCGGCTGCGTCGGCGGCGCCGCGGGCGGTGGCTCCGCCTGATGGGGAGCCGAACGCTGTGCACCGACGCCTTTTCCAGCCCTGCGCGGAAATTTACACAGGAGACCGCAATCCTACAGTCGGGGCGTTGACCTAAGGAACCCTAAATGAGGAACGAGGCCCCTTTTTTCCATCAGTTAAACTTCGATTTCGATTTCCTATCGGAAACATAAGGAAAACCTGAGGCAAGCTGCGAAACACTCAAGGAACGCGGAGCCCCTCCCCAACGAAAAGGGTTCCTGGTTCAGCGCCCCGACCTGTAGATGAACGGTGGCGACGGCGAAGGCACTGAAGACGACAACACCGACGGCGGCGGCGGCGGCGCACGAGGAGATGATGAGAAAGGCGGCGGCGACTGCGATCTGGACCAACAGGGCCACGCGAGAACCGGCGAGGCGAAGGGCAGCAGCAGGAGCCGCCCGAGATCGATGAAGAGACCGAAGATATGGAAACAAACCATAAGCTCTATACACCGACGCTTTTTCCCGGCCCTGCACTGAAACTTGCACAGGCGAGCTGATCCTGGTGTATACGGGATCCTGGTGCATACATGCTTGTTGTTCCCTCGGGAAACGGAGACAACAGGCGTACACCACACCACCCCGACGTCGTCCCCGACCTCAAAAGGTCGTGGGATTGAAGGGCAGCCCGCCACTACAAATGTAGACGTTCCAGTTTCCGACACGAGGGACGTGCACCCGAAACCGTCTGCTCCACACATCGGCGGGCATTGGACGCCGTGCTTACGGGGCGTCCGCTGCGCAGACGTCGCTGCCCGCCCGCGCCAGAGAGCAGACCGTCGCTCCGCACACTGCTGCCAGACACAGCTTCTGGGCGGAGTGGATGCGAATGCTTTGCGGTTTTTTTTTTGTTGTTGGTTTGCTTTTCGGCCCAGGACCTCGACCCCTGAAACTTTCGCACCGAATCCCAGAGCTTAGAAGCATATGTGATTGCTTTTCGGTCCAGGATGTCGATTGCTTTTCGGTCCAGGATTGATGTTGATTGCTTTGATTGCTTGGAGCATCGTTTTGTTTTGACTCCATTTCGGCCCAGGACCTCGACCCCTGAAACTGTCGCACCGCATCCCAGAGCTTAGAAGCATATGTGATTGCTGTTCGGTCCAGGATGTCGATTGCTCTTCGGTCCAGGACCGATTTTGATTGCTTTGATTGCTCAGAGCATCGTTTTGTTTTGATCGCTTTTCGGCCCAGGACCTCGACCCCTGAAACTGTCGCACCGCATCCCAGAGCTTAGAAGCATATGTGATTGCTGTTCGGTCCAGGATGTCGATTGCATTTCGGTCCGGGATCGATGTTGATTGCTTTGATTGCTCAGAGCATCTGTTTGTCTTGACCGCTTTTCGGCCCAGGACCTCGACCCCTGAAGCTGGCGCACCGCATCCCAGAGCTTAGAAGCATATGTGATTTCTTTTCGGTCCAGGATGTCGATTGTTTTTCGGTCCAGGATCGATGTTGATTGTCTTGATTGATCAGAGCATCTTTTTGTCTTGATCGCTTTTCGGCCCAGGACCTCGACCCCTGAAGCTGTCGCACCGCATCCCAGAGCTTAGAAGCATATGTGATTGCTTTTCGGTCCAGGATGTCGATTGTTTTTCGGTCCAGGATTGTCTTGATTGCTCAGAGCATCTTTTTGTCTTGACTCCATTTCGGCCCAGGACCTCGACCCCTGAAGCTGTCGCACCGCATCCCAGAGCTTAGAAGCATTTGTGATTGCTGTTCGGTCTAGGATGTCGATTGTTTTTCGGTCCAGGATCGATGTTGATTGTCTTGATTGATCAGAGCATCTTTTTGTCTTGATCGCTTTTCGGCCCAGGACCTCGACCCCTGAAACTGTCGCACCGCATCCCAGAGCTTAGAAGCGTATGTGATTGCTGTTCGGTCCAGGATGTCGATTGCTTTTCGGTCCGGGATCGATTTGGATTGCCTTGATTGCTCAGAGCATCTTTCTGTCTTGATCGCTTTTCGGCCCAGGACCTCGACCCCTGAAACTGTCGCACCGCA